TTTTTCTTTCGGCTTTGTCACTTTTTTTCAGGGGTTGCCACAGCGAATCATTGATTTCCATCTCTACCTGTTCTCTGCATCTACTACGCTGACTCCAACTATCTGCATGTCCTCCCTCACTGCATCCATATATCTCCTCTCTTTCTCCTATCTGGTAGCTCCATCTCTAACATTCTTCTACCAATGTATCCACTGTCCCTCCTCTGCACATGTCCAAACCATCTCAATCTGGCTTCTCTAGCCTTTTCTCCTAACCTTCCTGTCTGTGTTGTCCCTCTAATGACCATTCCTGATCCTGTCCATTCTTGTCACTCCTAAAGACAATCTTAGCATCTTTAACTCTGCCATCTCCAGCTCCGCCTCCTGTCTTCTGCCTATTGCTACTGTCTCTAAAACATACATCATTTTATTTGTATTAATACAATAATAATAATAATAATAATATAAGAAACGTGATGTACTACGAAATGAAAATACACAGGACACAACATAGTATTGCCAGTGCTAGTATTTATTTTAGAAATCATTAAAGTGCTAGTGGTCTCCATATTTGCATTGTCTTGCTTTCTCACTTCATGTGCATGGAGATGTTCTTGACAAGCAACTGTAATTAAAGGCACAGTAAGCAATTACAGTGTTCCATCTATAATCAGAACAATAATCAAAACAATACAATAATCAAACTAAAAAAACAGGGGCATTTTAGATTCAACTCTGCCAGAGAGAATCAAATGTGGGCGGTAAGTGAGCCCGTTATGTTTCTCCAATGTCGTTTGTAGTTTGCACAAAAGTGAAAAAGTTGGTCAAGGAGGAACTGTATGACATAACAAAGACATAATGGGCCTTCAAGAGTTTGTCAAAGACTCCCACAGAACCAGTTGCCTTGCAAGGAAGTGCATGCTTGTCGATCACAATGAAGTAGTGGTGAATGCTGCTTGGTGTGGTTCCTACAGCAAGAAGGTAGGACTGGCTGCTAAGGGTGATGTTGTCTAAATGCTGCTGCACACTGATTCCAGTCTGTGACAGAAGACATGTTCACTTCGTGACACACAGCTACCCAGTTAAGATGTTACGCTGTCGAGTTAATATCAAGGGTGTAAACTAGAGTAAGCTACACAGTTAAATATTAAAAGTTATATGGTGAAGACTGAAGATAGAATATCTACAGATTTCCTTTCATAGCATGCAGCCAACGAGGTATTTATTTGTCTTTATTTTTCGTTATGAATCTTGTACAGAATATTGAGTGTGCTAATGTGAACTGTAATACTATGTATTGCTAGTTTCACGGTTTGCGGAGGTCTTTGGATGGTTGTGGAGAGGACAGAGACTTCAATAAACCCGTTGAAGAAATCACTTGCGTCTGCACATGCTTGGGAGGGAGTCACACCTAACATTTCCCAACATCCATCCATCCATCCATTTTCATCCGCTTATCCGTTACCGGGTTGCGGGGGCAGCAGTCTCCACAACCGCCACCCAAATCACATTGCACTGTACCTACACCCCCTAAACCTTCCTGCGGGTGGTGAGTCCACTGGAAGGTACCAACCGCCCTAACCGGGATTCAATCTTGCCCAGGAGGTGAACCCTGGTGTTCCACACCAATGACAGAGACATTGCCTCTGGGCCAAAGTGGGGTCATTTCCCAACAAAGTCCTACCGTTTCCAGACGCATATCTGAACAACCCTAACACAGGGGGCAACATAGCCAATCAACTCCTGAGAAAGGGTGGCATGAGTAACCAATTAGCGAGCTGTTCGGTGAGGTACCGCCCGTACTTCTGCCGCAAAATTCCGCCGCGAGCTTCCGCCTCACAGTTGCATTTTACCGCTCCGATCATGTAATCAGTGGGAATTAATACATTTCCCCGAAATCGATGTCATCCTCCAGAAGAGAAAAAGTAAGTACACACGAATGAAAGACATTTTACATTTGCTTGTGTATTTATTTGAATAGTAGTAAAGAGTTTCTCATTACTTAATTAAGTATATGACGTGAAAATCATGTTTTTGTTGCATACTGAAGACATTTGGGTTTCAGATCAAAAGATGAATAAGAGACAAAAGTTCAGAATTCCAGCTTTTATTTCATGGTATTGACATCCAGGTGTGTTAAAGAACTCAGGACTAAGCCCCTTTTCTTTGAACCCACCCCCATTTCAAGTGAGCAAAAGTATTGGAACAGACATTATTAACATAAATTAAAGTGAATAACATTTAATATTTGGTGGCGTAACCCTTACTTGCAATAACTGCACCGAGCCTGCGACCCATTGACTTCACCAGGCTGTTGCATTCTTCATTTGAAATGCTGTTCCAGGCCTTTACTGCGACCTCTTTCAGTTCTTGTTTGTTTCTGGGGGCTTCTCCCTTCAGTCTCCTCTTCAGGAGGGAAAACACATGCTCTATTGGGTTAAGGTCTGGTGACTGACTTGGCCAGTCCAAGACCTTCCACTTTTTCCCCCTGATGAAGTCCTTTGTTGTGTTGGCGGTGTGTTTTGGGTCATTGTCGTGTTGCATGATGAAGCTTCTCCCGATTAGTTTGGATGCATTTTT